AGATGCTGACGACAGCATTTCACTACTGCTATAAATTTCCTCAAAGAAATTAACTCTGAAGCAGTTCAGCAAAGAATATGAAGGCAGAAAGAAAAATAATTTGGCTCTGGTTCTTGGGCTACTACCAGCCTCTCTTAAAATATGTATTTTTATTATTCTAGACCTAAGTGCATGCAGTTCTTCACAGCAACGGCTGCCATGAGCTGGGACACAATAACCAAGCAGAATTGCTCAGTTTGAACTGTGAACAAGATATATTGAAGGATTACTTTTACACAGTTGGGTTAAAAAGATCTAAAAAAGTACAGATCATCTGATGACAGATCCAAAGAGGATGCACTCTCATGTAACAAAGACAATTTAGAAGGAGGAGAAGGGCAACACCTAACACCACAGTGGACAAAATCCATGCACAGAGCAGACTTCGCGGTGCACTGAACAAGCCCCAGTCCTACTCTTACAGGAGAACACAGGAATGCTAGAGAAGAGTTTTCAAAACTGTGAATGAAGATTTTTATCAAACTTTGCTTCATTATTGCTTTGGGAGTCCGAGGACAGGAAAGGGCATGTTCAGCACTACGCTGAACTCCACATCTGCACTGAACAAGACTGCAGGAAGATAGGGCAGTTCCCAGCTCTTGACTGTTAGCAGGAAACATAGGAAAAAACTGAATTCTCCACAAGAAAATTCCTATGTAGTGAATGAATTGCAGGACTTAAAAAATCGAATACCTAGACTGACTGAAACTAAATTCACAACTAAGCAGAAGACCAAAAGACCTGTTCCTGTAAGCAAGAGTCAATACTCAACACATTGTAAATTTAGATCTACAACAAACAGAAGGTGAAGGTGAAGTTTGCCATTGCACAAGCTGCGGCAGCACAATCAGGAGAGTGTCTGCAAAGGGTCAGGGCTATAAGTGTGCTTATAAAAGCTTTTGAAAAAAGCCATATCATTCTCTTCTACGTGCTCCCAAATGCATCCATGTCAAATGCCCACAAGATTTATAGATAAGTGAATCACTAGAACAGTAAGTTGATCAAGAAGTGGAATTCCCCACAGAGCCATGACTCTTGCCAACTTCCACAGGCATTTTATCTGCTTACAGACAATGGGGTTTTAATGATGTTGCCTTCTGCCTCTCTTTAACACTCCCATATCCTCAGTAATGGGTACATCTCTTGGAGTGAACAAATCACTGATTGATCTCCGTCCAATTCTGCTGTATTTGGTGAGTGTGGCTGGCAAATGGTTCCTCTGGACCAGAATGAAAATACTCTTAAGAGTTGTCAGGAGGAAAAAAAGCCAAGTTGAAAGTTATGGAAAGAAGTCCTTCCTCTACTGAACTGAAGCCTGAAGTGACCAGCTACAATGGCACATTCAAATGGGTGGTTCGCAATGAGAACATGGTACATACCACAAGTCAGGACTCAGAAAAGTGCCTCAAGTCGACTTTCTTCTGTCCAGACAAAAAAAAGCCCTACAACCTTACTCCACTGTACGGAGGATTACATGGTAAATCGCAGGATTACTCCACTGTGATTACCTTGGCCATAATGTGCATCCAAAGACAAGCAAAACACCCAGTTACAGAGCAATAGCCTATAATTAGGGCTGAGATTTGATGAAGGCATGTTAGGATAACTCAGAAAGCAGTAATTTCACAAACAAAGCAGCAGATGGAAATATCACCATTATTTTGTACCTAGAGTAACCTTTATTTTATCAGAATAGCAGTTTTACAGTCAGTGTGTTGCAGTCTAGAATCTCCATAGCAGGATTGACTGACTTGCAGCAAATAGGTAAGAACCACAAATTCAACAATAGGTTTGCTTTATGTCCTGTTTGCAGGCAGGAGAGGAAAGCGGCCCACAGCACAGAGTCCTAACTTCCAACCCTGCACCCTAGACTCACTAGATGCTGAGGTCACTAAAGAAGAGCAGGAGATGCTGCAATGCAGTTTGCCACAAAAACAATAACAACAAAACTTAATGGGAAAATTAAAGCAAGTGCAAAATCTGCGGAATTCTTAAGGATTGGTGCAGTGTTACTGGCATACCTCACACTGAGGCAACACACCAAGTATTCACCCAGAAGAGTTTACAACATCGAACAGCAGTAACTAGGTGATTACTAACTGCTAATACACATTTCAAGGAAAAAGCCTACTGCTAGTCAGAACAACATGTTTCCTTTCTATGACAACATAACAACTCCAAGCAATATGGAAGCAGCAATGCATGTAGCATCTGGACTTCAGCAAAGCTTGTGACAGCATCCTATGTGCTATTTCCATAACCAATTTAGAAAAAATGTGATTCAGAACTAGCTTATATCAGTTTATACAACTCATTGAAAAAACATACTCCAAATTGAAAAAAAGAGTATGTCCAGAATCCAACAGAATTCAACACTGTTATTTATTACCTACATGATGCACTATATGGCACTGTTATTAAAGAACATGTTACTGGAGGAAGGGAATTGGAAACCCTATTACACTATCAGAAGATAAATCAAAATGGTCTTGAGAAATCTTGGGGGCAATCCACAGAGTGGATTTCTTCTTATTTGTTTTATTAAAGACAAATGCAATGCACACTTTGATAGGAAACCTCATCTATACAAGATGGAGAAATTATTTGCTTGCCAGAAGCTCTGCAGAAAGTAGTCTGGAGCAACGGTGTGTCAGAAAGCAAACATGCACCAACCACATATTTAAATGGCAAGTTTCATAGCTGACATACAGAACAAGAGTATCTTTGGTAGGACAGGTAAAGCAGTTCTTCCCCCTCTAGTCAGCACTGACACGGCCTCGGTTAAAATCTTATGTCTAGTTTCGGGCATCACACTTCAGAAAGATATGAAACGACTGGAGAAAGTCCAGGGAAGGAGGAAAGAAAAATAAAAAGGAAATAAAAAAAAAAAAAAAGACATAAGGTCTAGAAAACATGACATATGAGAAAAAGATTGAAAGAATTGGGTTTGTTTAGTCTGAAGAAGAAGAAGACTAAAGAGAGACATGATAACAGTCTTCAAATATGTAAAAGATAGTTACAAAGAAAGAAAAACTACTTTCCACATAAACTCTGCATAGAATTAGAAACAACAAGCTAAGATAGCAGCAAAGAATGTATTTTCTAATGTCTAACTGACAGGAAAATTAAACATTTGAAAGATTGCCACTAGGGGCTGTGGAAGCATTAAAGTTTTTTATGAACAAACATGCCTGGAACCAGCCAGGTATAAAAGGTTTTCACAGGACTGATGGACCATGTGACTTACTAAGGTCTTATTTAACACACTTTGATTCTGTGCTGTAGGCATAAAAATTAATTCCTTTATTGCTATCTGTGGCCACCCATTGAGTTTAGAATGACTAGCCTCTTTATCTTAAAAGAAAAACCGTTCTTTCTAGGAAGACAAGAACTGCTCTGTAGAAAATGCAAAAACCACTGACATTCCCCCAAACTGTCTTTTCCAAACCACTATACAACAGGAGACAAGCCTTACAGACAAGGAACAAGCTGCAGAATTGAACCAGGAATGTGGTATGTTTCTGTTTTCAGTGCGGTTTACTTATAAAAGCAGTTTTCCTCTTGTGCATATGATTTACTCTCAGAGAGGCCTGGCAAGAAAAGATGTAAGAAATGATAAAAAGAAGAAATGATGAAAGTGAGTGAAGTTAAGGCCAAAATAAGAAATGACATCATCTACTAAACTAAGTGCAACAAGTCTTATGGGACAAATGAAGCTCGATAACTAGCTAACATGAGTTTTAGTCATTCTGAACATTGCCAAGCAATACATTTACCGGCCAATATATTCATCAGTGTTGTAGAAGGTGACCACTGCTCCTCTCATCATGCCGTACCTCCACAACTACACTCTGATATAACAAAGCTCTTTCTCCTGAAAAGCTGCTACTAAGGTGCTTCGCATTTTGTGAGGTCCCGAGCCTGCGGAAATGCTTCTTCATCACATATGGAACAGGCTACATATGCTAGTTCATGGGGTATCCTGTAAGGCACCTCTCCCAGGTCTTCAGAGGATGGGAGCAAATGATTACGAAGCTGAAAGTCAGGAGGCCAGACAAATGCCCTAAAAAGGTATCTACACTGACAGATAGGGTTATGCAAAAGAAAGGCAATGTAATGCATCACAGGCTTCCCAGACAGGGATATTTAACAGTGGTTTGGTTGAAGGCGGCAGTTCGGTATTTTGTAATGTTTTCTTAAATAAATTAACTCAAATTAGACCTCAGCTAGAATCCTAGAGGCTTTATTTAAAGATCCTAAAAAAGAGATTATTAATAGTCCAATATTTTTCTCAAAGCAACTTCCAGAAGTGTGAAATTTCTCTAAAAGAAAACAGGACAAACTTCCTTAGTGCTTTGGAAGTAGATAAAAATCCATGCCCCCTCCCTACAATAATGTTTTGAAGTTGTACCTTATTTTGCCTCTTCCTATGCTTCTAGACAAAACTATTCCTTTACTCCATCACCCTCAATTTTTATTTATTTTTTTTTACCACTGCCTAAATGGGCAATTTGTTTCCTGTCTTTTGTTTTTAAAGCAAGTGGCCGCTGTAATAGGAAGAGCTGACACAGTAGCCCACCCTTTGGGCATGTTCTGAATACAGCATTTAAAAAGATACATCAGAGAGTGCCAAGAAGAGGAAACAGAAGACAGGTGTGAGGAAAACAAACACAACAGCTCACTCCCATTGCAGAATGTCAGGTAAGCAGACAAGAGTCATGCACCACCCAAGGAGCAGGGACAGCTCTGCATGGGCAAGTGGATGGGAACACAGCACACTCTGGTGAACATGTGGGCCAGGATGCAAAGGAATGGGACAGGATCATACACAGATTTGTCAAACTGAAGCAAGTCTGATGAGTGTTTTGTGAACATTCAGAATACATCTGCTCTCTCACACCATGCTAGATGAGACATTACTCCTCTCTCACCCCCATCCCTCTAGGCCCAGGGAGGTTTACCAATATTTGGATGCTTTAGAAGTCGGCAGATTCGAGCTTCACGTTCCAGTTTCTGGTGATCTGAAAGAGAATAAGAAACAAGACATTAAACACCACAACTCTGAACTAAGCTCTTGTTCATATTCAACTGAGAAAGGAACACAGTGACCCAGCAGACATCCAGAAGGCTAGAAATTGCTGGAACATGACCGTCTCCTAAAACCTCACAGCCATTTCAGGTGAGGGCTATGAAACCGAGGCTGTAGGAGGATCTTCACTCCAGCTACAGAATAGCACTAAAGTGTTATTCCCTCTTTGGATTCATAGTAAGTAGAAGCAGAGTTCAAACACACCACTCGTCTGTCAGCCTCAAAACCACTTTCCAGTGACATCCCTTCCAAGATATACCCCCTTCTCCAAGGCAGGAGAGGAGTCTCTGAAGAAATAGCACACATGAAATGGGAAAAGGACCTGCTTCCAATCCAGACAAAGAGTGGGGAAGAAGGGCAGAGCAGGAGGGAAAAATACACAGCTCCTGCTAGTGCACAGCCATTCAAATAAAGTAGGGAACTCTGCCAGCTCCACTGAACTGTAAAGGTAACCATACTTCAGTACCCATGGACAGACTCGCTAGTGAAATGCTGATCAAGCACCTTGAGATTTCCAGGCAAGAAGTTGTGCCCAAATGCTAAGTGTGCTTATTCCAGCCCAAAGGCAACATCAGCTCGAGCACAACTGTCATATGGATTAAAGACAAAATAATCAAGGAGAGTAAAGAAATGATTTCTCTTCCCTAGAAATGAAACATGCATGAGTGCAAGGAAAGGAGAGGGAGCTAAAGCAACTCTGCTCATTGTAGCCAAGAAGCAGGGGGCCTTTTAGCCACTGAGGCTCAGTCAGGAGATTTTTCACTACAGCAGTGATCGACCCCTGAACTTCCACTACAAAGTTCCTGTCCTCTCAAGGTGAAATGCTCACACTGGATAAACACAGATTCACTGAAAGGATGCAAGGGAGGCAAATCTTTTAGGCAGCCCCGGCAGCTAGTAAACTCTAGACTTTTGGGGATGTAGATGTCTAGAAGAGGCAAAGACTGCTATTCCTGCCCAGTCCAGCCACTGAAAGAACACAGTAAGGGGAAGCAGCACTCCATGCCTGCTCTTGGCATTTCTTCTGCAGCAGATCTTCAGCACACAGGCTTAAAAGCACATTTTCTCTGCAACTCCTGTGACACGCAATTCTTCTCCGCAAGTATAAGAGGGACGCTTGGCAGGTTGGGCTACTCAGCAGATCACTGGTAGGAATATAGCATCCTCCAACTTAGAGGAAACCCACTACAGACCCACTGCAATAAAGCCACACTGCACAGCTCTGCCCGAGAACAGCCTGTGCAGCTCCATGGTCTCTGCACCGTCCTTCCTTCCCTTTGTAAAGGAAGGCTTTGGGCATTTGTTCCCTTCCCCATGAGTGGAAGACTGAGAGCCAGGCAGATCTCAGCTGAGAACACTTCTCTCTCCCAGGCTGGGAATAGCAGCTCAGGGCACTGCAGGATTTCTGCCTTCTTTCCCACTGCTGAACTGTAGAAAATGTCCCAATTAATACTTTATAGGGCTGAGATATGCTTACATGCTCATCTGTTACTGTTCAGGGATGGGGGAAGGTAAATTACCCCTTTCATCTCTCCTTCCTTCTCAATCTTGGAAATTATTGTTGTTGTTGCATATATTTTACAGTTCTGTGCCAGAAACACTCTCCAATAAAGTCGCAGCCAGCAAGAAAGCCTGGAAAGCTTCCACGCTCCCAGGTCCTTGGTGCAGTGCAAGCACTTTCTCACCTGCATTGCTGGGGAGGGGCGGGGGTGCCTTGGCTTCTGTTTTAGCAGCATCTCTCACAAACCAAGTTTTGCAAAGCACAGTTGCAAGGTAACAGACTGTGCTGCATACTCTGCGCTTGGGCCAGATTCTCAGAGCAGGCCAACAGTTGAAGGTAAACTAACCATAGCCCGCTCGCATGCCTGGGTCTTGCAAATTCCCCACTAACCCTCCCAGCTCTACTTGGAACTCCTACAGAAGGGGATCCTTCATCCACCCAGATCACGTTGCCCTCGTGCGCAGTTACACTTGCTGAAAATCTGTTCCAAGTACAAGGACACGGGGAAGCAGACAGCAAAAACAGCTGAGCAAAGGGGGAAGGAGAGGTAAGAGCTCACCACGTGCTGCTCAGCCACCGAGTCCTGACAGCCAGGACAGACAGCTGATAGGAGCAAGGCTCAAACAAAATGACATAACCATCAAAATGCCATGGGAGATGTAAATCAAGAGCAATTGCTCCCCTGAAATCCTACACCATAGTGCAGAGGGAGGGGAGCAGGCAGGGCAGCTAGTGATCATGGGCAGCAGCCACACCAGAACTTGTGACAAGAGGTCATCACCCCACACTCCAGCCCTCCAGCACCATGCAGCCTGGCTGGAGACCAGAGGAGGAGTACAGCGCTCCGGTCACAAGGTACAGGAAACTATTTCTGGTCCGGGTGAAAGCATACCACTCTCTTCTGTCTCCAGGGCAACAAAACAGGCCAACTCAAGCACAACTTGAAGAGTGAAAGCACACTCCAGCCTGGGAGCACCAGCCCGCAGCAGCAGCCGCCACAACTGAGAGCAGTGAAAGGTCAGGCTGGGCGGGTTTCCTGACGCAGGTCCTGGAGGAACACAGATCCCGTTCCTGCAGGATCACCTGTCCCGTTGCAGGCGGCACCAGAACACAGCCTAACCTGTGACTTGAAGAGAGCCTCCCCACCCCAGCTCCAAAGAGAGACAGACCCCTTTTAATCTTCATCACCTGGTGGTCTTTGGCATAGTGTAGGCATTTGAGTCTCATTTCAGGCATCAGTGGCAGAGCCAATTTGGTACTTATGGGGAACAACCCAGTGCCTAAATGCATAAGGAATAAACACAGAGCTGCAATTTTTCTACCTCTCTCCAGTATAAAAAATGATTATTCTCAGTAGGAGATAGAAATAAAACAAGATTTTGTTGAGTCCAGCAGAGCAAAGGCCACGCTTTAACACATCTCTTACATGGACTGGGTCTCACTGAACCTTAAAAAGGCAGTGTTCTTAACTGTATCAGAATAATGATGAAAAGATGACATGGGTTCAGATCCTAGCCATACCAGGAGCTTGTAAAACAAGTGATTTCTCCTCCCTCTCCACCCAAAAGATCAAACTTACTTGTGCAAGCCATTTGTGGAGTGAAGGTGTTTATTCCTAATGCACAGTGGAAGTCCACCTTGTAGTTAAAAGAAACACAGCACCACATTTTACTTACCTCACAGGATCCCAGGCCTGAGACATTAGGCCTATTTCCCACTTTTCACAAACTATGAAATTCAATCAGCAATTTACATAACTTGCCTAAAACACAGCACATCCTTCAGAAAACATAAGGGTTCACATTCGAGACTTCAAATGATAAATAAAGCCATACACCCACAGAAATTACTCCAAATGTTAGTTATCCTTCCTGTTAAAATTTAGCACTGCTGTTCCAAGTCTGAATTCATCTACCTCCTGCTTCCAAATATTGGATTTCATTAAGCTCTTTTCCTGCTATGTTACAGAGCTCTCTAACTCTGAACAATAGCTGATGCTTAAAACTTAAGTACAGGATATTACAAACACTCATCTAATATTCATTTACTGTTTTCCAGCCAAAAAAAAAAGGAGAGTTTTGCTATTGGACAATTCTTTTACCTCCAGTCTGAAGCAATGAGTATCTACACGGACAGAAAAGTGCAGTCTACATAGCTCTTTTGTAGCAAAATTTAAAGTGTAAATGCTTGAGGAGACGGTGCTTAAAAACTGCAGAAGAAAACTTTCTCATGTTTTGTACACAAACTAAAGTGTGAATACCAACTTCTCTGAATTAGTCATTTATATAAGAAGATATCTGCATCTTGGTTCAGCATGTGAGACTACATTTAACCCAAGTACCTTTAACATTATTGGTCTGCAAATACCGTGCTAAGTGTCATTCTAGTAATGTTAGTACCGGTTTCTTCCGAGTATACCTGCTAAGAAACTGCCTGCTCAGAGAACTGGGATTTCTTTTGAGTTCAGTTTTGATTTGCCTAGGGATTTACTTTAATAAAAAAACAAGAATGATTGTTTTAGCATCATCTGTGAGAGTTAAGGACCTGCAAAAAAATGAAATTGCTTCATTTTCTGCAAACATGCAGTCCATTCACTGGGACAGGACCGCTTGTACACAATGGATGGACAGAAGTAGCTGTGCACAATTAATAACACCACAGCTATAAGAATCTCTAACTAAGCAGGTTAAAGCAAAAATAACCCTGCCTGAGTACAGAAGACAGCAGACCAAAACCCTGGTAGTTTGACCTGCATGTCCTAAATGCATCAAACTGCAGCAGAAAAACAGGATAACATGATGTAAAAAGTGTACCCAACAAAAAAAAACAACCCAAAATGCACACAGCTTTACTTCACAGAAACCTGGCTATCTCTAGCAGGGTGGAGAATATGATTAGTTCTATATTAACGTGCATTTCTTATTCTTTTGTAAGAAAATCCTTTCATCGTCTGGCTACTTCAGTGTGTTACGTCAAAGATGCAGTGGCAGAGATGGATGAGTAATGTAAGACCTAACTTCTGGGCTCCATTCTTCTCCAGGGAACCAGTTCCCGGTTTCCTATCCTAGCCACACACTCATGGCTTCTTCGCAGGAGGTTTTTCCTCACCATGTCTTTCTCCTCCAAGGGTGCCCAAGGCCTGGAGGAGAGCATTTTCAGACACACAGACAGGGCACAGGACATCTATAAATCCCAGCAGTCTAGAGCTGTCGAGTGAGAACGCTTACATAACCAAAAAACAAGATGAAGAAAAAGGTCATTGTTGCCTGCTCAGCCTGTTAGGAAGCTGTGCTGGGGAGGAGCTGCCGGGGAAACACAGGGAGACCTGTCTGTGTGGAGCCGAGGTACACTTGCAAAAGACAGAGTCTGGAGAAAGACACCTGCAACAGACCCAAAAAGGAGATCGGTCCCAGCAAGCGGGGTGAGGGCTG